CTGAACAGCACATGTGTGCACATGTACACTGGTGTGTACAGACACACGCGCTATCTGTGCACACAAACACAGGTGTACACCCACATGGCTGTGCACACCAGCCCCGGTGCACACTCCTGCCCACAGTGCAAGCACAATGCGTGTGTACACACCCACACAGCTGTGCACACGAGCTCCACACACACACTCAGCACGCACGGTACTCACCTGCACATCCACCTGGCCGTCACTCCTATCACACGGGCAGCTCCTACACGCCCTGCCGCCCGCCCGCACCCTGCCTGCCCGCCTGCCCCTGGCTGGCTCCCGCTGCGTGGCTCCGGGGGTCCACCCGTGCCCAGGCCAGTTGGCCTGAGCCCCGGGCCCAGCTTTCTCTGTCAGCCCCCAGCCTCAGCCCTCCCAGAGGGAGGGGTGCCTAGGGTGTCAGGGAGGCCCCTCCAGGCCTGCTCCCAGGTGGCCTCTGACTCGGGCGTCCAGGCTCCCGCTCAGGCGCCCAGGGTCACCAGCCCTGCCTCCCCGGGACCGCAGCCCCACCGCCGGGGGTAGGCACAGGGGTCGTCGGAGCTGGAGAACCGGGGTCCAGGAGGCCCATCAAGGACAAATACTGCGTCCACTCTTGCCCCGGACGGCCGTGCCCTCTGCCCAGGGCAGCCCCTGCCTGACCGCCTCACGCCCTGCACCCTCCTGCGTGACCTTGGACGGGTGACCTTGAACCAGTTCCTCTGCTCAGGACCCTCGGGAACACGCCTGGGGTGGAGGCCGGCGTCCCGGCCGGCGGCCACCCTCGGGCAAGGGCCCTCTGGGCCCTGAGCAGGGTGGACGGGCCAGAGAGGCAGACCCCAAAACTCCAGCAGCCGCTCTCCCAGGAGAGCCCGGGGCGGGAAGGCCAGCCCCAGGGACAGGAGCCGGGGTCCCGCTGGAGGGCCGTGGGCATCTGCGCGTGTGTGCCCGGGCGGGGGCTGGCGCGGGGGAGGGGCACCCTCTCTTGGGGGCCCCGGCATGGTCGGGCCAGGCCCCACGCAGGCGGCGGGTGTGGCTGAGCAGGGCGGGCGGGGGCAGCGCTGGGCACTGCAGCGGGCCAGGAGCCGCAGCCGGCAGAGCGCGGCTGGCGGGCGGTCTGAGGGGCGAGCCCCTCGGAGCCGGCCGGCTGCGGCCCGGGGTCTGGGCTGGGCAGTGAGGTGGGAGGGGAGTGGCAGCTTCCGGGTTGCCAGACACCCAGCCCCATAGGTGGGCAGCCAGAGGCACCGTTTAGCCCCACCCCGAGGCCCCAGCAGGGGCCTGTGTGCTCCCGGAAGCACCAGGCAGACCCCCAGGTGGCCCCTGTGGCCAGGCGGCTGCAGAGAAAGGAGGCCTCAGATGGGGCTGAACGTGGGGAGTCCCTCGGCGGGCCTGACCCTGCTGGACCCGGCCATGCTTGGACCCCGCCCCGCCTCTCTGCTGCGAGTGGGACAGGACCCGGTCGTCGGGGCAGGGCAGCCAGAGGGGCCGTGGGGGCTGCTGGCCGTCCCAGGTGGACAGGTGGCAGCCCTGGCGCAGGGGGCAGGCCCTCCTGGCCCTGGCTCTTGCTCACGGCAGCAGCCAGCAGGCCCAACTGTGCCTCCGAGGGCGCCAGACCTGAGGCCCCGGGACAGGCTCTCCTGGGCCTGTGACGGCCCCCACCGGGCTGCCCGACCTTCTGTGGCCCAGAGGACTCTTTAGGGGCCCAAGGGACATCCCAAGTGGCAGGGCAGCTGCTGGGGCAGGGTGGTCGGGCGTCCGGCCTCCCAGCCCCACTCTCCTGCCAGCCCCTGGGCCGCCTGGGCCGGGGTGCCCACCGCTCCTCCCCCACGCAGCCTTGCCAGGACACAGGCGGGCACTGTTCGGCCGCGGGGCAACAGAGCGCCTTTGTGGCTGGTACTGGGGCGGCCATTGGCGGCCTGGGGTGGGTGGGGAGGGAGCGCCAGGCCCCTGGTCGGGGGAGCCGGGGGGAGGAGCCTGGGCAGGCCGAGGTGAGCCGGAGAGGCCTGGAGCCCGACGGGGGCCCTGCTGCACCGCGGGGAAACTGAGGCACCAGGGCTGACATTGCGGGCTGGAGGCGCGTGGGGTTCGCGCGTGCGCAGTACATCCGGGGTGGTGCTGGGAGAGGGCCGCGGGGTGCGCCCCTGAGCGCGCTGCGTGCGGGGAGGAGGGAGCTCCTCATCGCGGGGACCTCGCGGGCAGCAGTGTCCGCACCCGGGACGCGGCCCCGGCGTCCAGGCAGCGCTCGAAGGCGCCATCCTGGCCGCTCTGCCCCCTCGCCAGATCCGCTGCGCGCCCCTGGACAGCGCGTCCCCCGCGGGCAGGGCCCCGCCCCGAGGGCAGGGGGAGCGGGTGGCCCGGGCGGGGCCTCCGGGGCTGAGCCCGTGAGGTCGGACAGAGCGAGGGGGGCTTGGGCGCCGATGGGCCGCTCCCTGGGAAGCCGCAGTGACCCAGGACAGGGCCGGCCAGGAGCCGGAGGGGGGCGGGGGCCTGGGGGCCGTGGCCCTGGAGCGGCGGCCTTAGCCCTGCAGACCAGAGGCCCGCCCCGTGCCCGCCCGCGTGGCCAGCCCAGCTCGCTGGAGATGGCCCGGGGCTCCCCCTCGAGGGGCCCCAGCTGCCCCCACGTCCCAGGGAGCACCCACTGGGCCTCCCGGCCGTTGGGCAAGAGTGAGCAGATCCGTGTGAGCCGCCGGCACACGCGTGTTCTGACAACCACACACACAGACGTGCACACACACGGGGACCACCCGGCCCAGCCAGGCCCCACCGCCATCAGCCCGCCCTGCGCTGGACGCCCTCGCTGGCCCTGCCCCGGCTCCCCTGCCCACCCCCAGCACAGGCGGAACCCCACTGAAGTCCCGCCAGGACCCCACACCCACCCTCAGGACCTCAGGCACTGCCTGATCCAGTGACTGGGAGCAGCACTCGCCACCGCACCCCGGGATTCTGCGGGGGCCCGCCGCAGGCGGCACCCGGGGCGCGGCCGCCCTTTCTGCCTGCTGCTCGCACCCGCACCCTGCTCAAGGTCTGGCCACTGCCAGGCCAGCGCCCGGCCGTGCTCTGGGCCCCGAGCGCCCTCACCGCTGCCCGCCCCCGCCACCCTTCCCCTGGCCCCGGCCGCGCGGAGCCGCGTGGTGATGGGCTGCCCGCCTCTGGCCCTGGCCGCTGTGCCTGGAACCCAACAGGCTCTGGGGAGGCTCTGAGGCTCCTCTGCGGGGCCTGGAGGCCAGGAGGCCCCGGGCAGAGGCAGGTGCCGTGGCCCCTGCCCGGGCAGAGAGCCCGCCCTGCAGGCTTGGCCGTGGCTGCTTTTCACGTTCCCTTCTTAGGGCACCCGGAGGCTTGCCGCTAAGGGGCCGTGGACACGGGCTGGCCACGGCCTGTATGGCCACCCAGTCTTGCAGGGGTCTGCCCTGTCCCCGGGCAACTCCTACCCTCTGGCGGAGAAGAGTAAGGCTCCAAGCCCATTGTACAGGTGGGGAGCCTGAGGCTGGGAGCGTGGGGCTGGCCGAGGCCCCGCAGCACTGGCGGTGGCCCTGCCCGTTCAGCTCTGCCCACAAGGCCGGGGAAGGGCCCCAGGAGGGTCTTGCAGTGCCACATCCAATCTTGCCCTTGCACAGCTGGTCCAACCAGCAGGAGCAGCGAGTCCCCGTGGGCCCGGCCGGCCTGGGCACGGTCAGCAGAGAGATCTACACGGGAGCCCGGCTTCCTCTCGCCTGCCCGTCCAGCTGCTGCCCGGGCCCCGCCACAGCGGGGGACTGTGGCGCCAGGGCTGGGGCTGGTGGGGAGCCTGAGGCGTGGCAGCAGGAGGAACCAGACAGGATCCACCTGCAGGTGGGAGCAGAATGGGCCACGCTGGCACCCCCTTCCCAGGAGTGAGCGGGCAGCCGCCGGGGCCTGGGGCGTCCTACAATGCTGCATCTAGGGTCATCCCCGGGGGCTCTGGCGGGGCCTGTCCCGCCCCCTCATTGTGAGCCTGGGTAAGTCACTGAGCCCCGGGCGCAGCCCAGCCTGTTTCCTCTTGGCGGGACGGAGAGGGCGACAGTGCCGCCTTACGAAGGGAAGGTGAGGCAGGGGCCCGGCTAGGGAGGAGCCTGGACCTGGACGTGGACACTCAGATGATCCCTGCCCGGCCCTCCCCGCCCAGCTGGACAGGCCAGGGCCCCTGGCCCAGGAGGCGAGGGCTGGGGAGGGGTGGGCTCCCGGGCCGCGTGGGGTCTGCAGCAGGAGGCCGCAGTGGTGGGTGGATGGCACTGATGGGTGCCAGGCTCTGAGCCCCTTCACCCCCCAAAGAACTGTGGAGGCGAGGGGCAGATGGTGGGAGGGTCCCTGCACCCCACCCCGAGCGAGAGCCGAAGCTGGGGTGGGCAGCGTCACCCCTCTCCTCCCCCCACCCTCTTGGGTCAGGTTTGCAGATGGTTCCCGGAAGACGGGCAGCGGGGGCGGAGGGCCGGAAGGCCGGGCAAGGAGACAGGCGGGGGCGGGAGAGACAGCAGGGAGCCTGGGAACGCTGGGCCGCCCCTGAGGTCACACGGGCGCGGAGACCGGGGACCAGCCAGGGGCAGACCAGGAGCCGCGCCAGGCTCTCCGGCAGACGGGCACTGCCAGGGCCCCGCGCCCTGCTCGGCGGGCTGAGGAAGCCTCTCCTGGCCCAGGCCCCTGCCCGCCCCGTCCCCGTGGCGGAGCAGGCCAACCGGCAGGTGGGCCCGGCAGGTGCCTGGGAGCAGCGCCAGGGCCTGTGTCCGCCCCCCAGCAGGCCAGGGCCCCAGGGCTCACACAGCCCCCTCCTCTTTCTCTTCCAGCTCTGCTGGCGGACCCCGGGCCTTAGGAGCCTCCTCTGCCCTCCTGGTCCTCTGAGGCCCTCGCCCCTGCTGTCGCCCAGAGCCCCGGCCCCTGGCCCGGACCCCTGCCCGGCCGGTCCCGCTCGCCGCCCGACTTGGCATGTCAAGGCCTGGCCCACGCCTGCCTGCCCAGCCCGCGGAACCCCGGCGGCCCCGCGAGCTAGGATGAGGGGCCAGGCCGCCGCCCCCGGCCCCCGCCGCGTGCTCGCCTCGCTGCTGCTGCTGCTGCTGCTGCTGGGCGCGGGGCGCGGGCGGCCTCGGGGGCAGACGCAGGGCCTGGCGCCGAGTCCTGCGCCACGCTGGTGCAGGGCAAGTTCTTTGGGTACTTCTCGGCGGCCGCCGTGTTCCCCGGCAACGCCTCGCGCTGCTCCTGGACCCTGCGCAACCCCGACCCGCGGCGCTACACGCTGTACATGAAGGTGGCCAAGGCGCCGGCGCCCTGCCGTGGCCCCGGCCGCGTGCGCACCTACCAGTTCGACTCGTTCCTGGAGTCCACGCGCACCTACCTGGGCGTGGAGGGCTTCGACGAGGTGCTGCGGCTGTGCGACCCTTCGGCGCCCCTGGCCTTCCTGCAGGCCAGCAAGCAGTTCCTGCAGATGCTGCACCAGCAGCCGCCCCGCGCCGGCCGCGGCCCCCCGCGGGACCCCCGGGCCCCGGCGACGACTTCTCCGTGGAGTACCTGGTCGTGGGCAACCGCAACCCCAGCCGGGCCGCCTGCCAGATGCTGTGCCGCTGGCTGGACGCCTGTCTGGCCGGCAGCCGCAGCTCCCACCCCTGCGGCATCATGCAGACCCCCTGCGCCTGCCTGGGCGGGGACCCCGGAGACCCTGCTGCGGGGCCCCCGGCACCCCGCGGGGACGTCTGCCTGAGGGACGGCGTGGCCGGTGGGCCTGAGAACTGCCTCACCAGCCTCACGCAGGACCGGGGCGGGGACGGCGCCCCAGGTGAGTGACCGTCTGGGCCACCGTGGGGTGGTGACAGTGCCCCGGGCCCACGCGCCTGGTCAGGGCAGGGCCGGCCGAGCATCGGGGGGAGGAGGAGGGCGTGGACGAGGGTCTGATTTCTCGGGGATGGGGGCATCCGCTGGGAGGCGGGATGAGTCGAGGGCCTCCGGGGGTGTCTGTGTGGACGGGGGAGCCGGATGGACGCCTGCTCACAAAACCGTCTTGAGGCAGAAAATAAGCCTCATGGGATTGAGGGGAGCCGGGACCCCGTGCTCTGCACGGCCTGGCGCCCGGCGGCGAGCTCTGTGAAGCCCCTGGGGTGCAGGTGTGGACTGGGGTGTCCGGGAAGCCAGCAGAAACCCCATCAGGGAGGGGGCACCAGTTGTGCCAGGGCCACCCAACCACCGGTAGAGGGAGGCTGCCCAAGGCAGAGGTCACCATGGCCTTGGAAAGGGAAGCCTGCACCAGGTAGCAGATGGGTGGGTCCCGGGCACAGGGCGGTGGGGCACAGCAGAGTGGAGGGGGCCGGGGACTGGGAGTCGGCTGGGGGGTTGGCCTGCCCTCCCTGGCCCTCCGCCCCGCCCCAGCCTCAGCGCTGCCCGCTCCGCACGGGTGCTGTCCCTGCAGTTGGTGTCTTGGGGCCCGGCCCACGGGGCCTGATTCCCTCAACGCATCCCCGTGAGTGCCAAGGGCAGCAGCCTTGCAGGAAGGGCTGGGACAGCCCAGAGCCTGCCAGGAGGCCAGGGCAGGGGCAGGCTGGCATGACGCCTGGGGGTGCCCATGCGGGGAAGCTCTGGCTGTGCTGAGTACCTACTGTGCGCAGGCTCCAACAGCAGCCGGGCGGCCATGTGGGTGGCACAGGGTCCCTGTGCTAGAGCAGAGGCAGGCGCCGCACCAGCCTGAGATGCAGAGGGGTGTTGCCCACGGGACAAGGAGGGGCCGGGGTGGGCATCCAGGAGGGAGCTGACCTGGCCTGCTCAGGGCAAAACAGCAGGGTACCTGGGCAGGGCTGCTGACCTCGCCGACGTTAGGGACGTGGCATTGGGGCCGGATCACAGTTTCTGGAATGAGGACATCAAATGAGGTGAGAAGCTCGTGTGAGGCCGGGAGAGGGCGGTCTGGAGGCCGGAGTGGGACCCAGTGTGAGGCCTGGGGCGGCAGGCAGGGCCCTGGGCAGAAGCCATGAGGTTCAGCCCGGGGCCGGTGGCACAGGCTGCCCTGGGTGTTGCCACGGCTCCCCTCAGGCCCTCCCCTTCTGAAGGAGAGAGGGAAAATACCTGCTACCCCATGACCTTAGCATGAGGCCTGCGGAGACTGTCCCCACATCTCCCTGGCTCCTGGGCGGCGACAGCCAGGAAAGGGGGCATTTTGCAGGTGGCACGGGGGAATTTGCAGATGGCATCGAGTGGCGCAGAGGAGGGCAGCGCGGGCATGGTTGGCAGGGGTGGGAGGTGTGTGCAGTGTGTGCATGTGGGAGGTACGTGGTGTGCTCGTGCGTGCACGCTGGCTGTGTGCGGGCTGGGAGTGCGCCTGGGTGTGCACAATGTGCTGGGGCGTGGGGGGGTCTGGGCCCCGCGTGGCTGGTGTCCGTGACACTGCCAGACCCAGCGCGGCAGGCCTGGGGCATGGGTGGGGGCACTGGGCCGGCAGCATGGACAGTGGGGTCTGCGCAGCCCAGAGCCACTTGGCCGGTGGCCCCAGGGGCCCTGCAGAGAGCCGCCGCAGCAGGAGCAGCAGGGGCCAGCGTGTCCCCAGCCGTCGGGTGCCACACAGCCACGGGCTCGCGCTCAGGGTCCTGACAGGGCGCCCCACACCCCTGTAGCCCCAGGGCCTTGGCCAGGCTGTTCCTCAGATCCAGCCCCCAGCTTCCCACCCGCCGCCCCCTCAGATTGGGGCCCCTGAGGCTGCCTGAGAGCCAGCCCTGCGCTGGCTGCGTCCCACGGCCGCCTCTGGGGGCGCGGCGTGCTCCCGGCTCGGTGGCGTCTGTTCCTTAGGGCTGGCCTGCTGGGCGGTCAGTGCCACAGAGCGGGAGGGACGCTGGCCAGGGTGTGGGGCAGCGCCTGGTCAGTCCAGGGCGGGCGAGGCGGGAGGGTGAAGGCCAGTGCGCCCCTCCTCTGATTTGAGGGCTGACGCAGGGCGGGCCTCTGGGAGCCCCCAGGCCTTCCACAGCGAGCTGGGCGGGGAGGGGTGTGTGTGCGTGCCCGGTGTGAGTGCCCACGTGTGTGCCAACGTGTGTGCCCAGCATGCGTGCCCGGCGTGAGTGCCCACATACGTGCCCACGTGTGTGCCAACGTGCGTGCCCGGTGTGCGTGCCAGGCGTGAGTGCCCACATGCATGCCCGCGTGCGTGCCCGGCGTGTGTGCCCTCATGTGTGCCCACATGCGTGCCCAGTGTGCATGCCCGCGTGCATGCCCAGTGTGCGTGCCCGCGTGCGTGCGTGCGCTCGCCCAGGCTCGCGGGAGGGGCGGCGCGGCGTCGGCGAGGCCGGGCTGCCGTCGGGGGGCGGCTGGGCACGCGGCGCCGCCGTCTGTCGCCGAGCCCCGTGCCCAGGGCTGGGCGGCGCGGCCGGGGCTGGTGGCCAGGCACGTCCCTCATCCCGGCGGGCACCAAGCAGGTGGCCCGGGCCGGCCGTGGCCCACTTTCCGCCGGCCCGGGCCGTGCCAGCGCCACCTGGCCACGTCAGCCCGGCCGCAGCGGGCAGCCCGGGTGATCGCGCGCTGGCCACGGCCTTTCTCTCGAGGGTTCTTTTAAATATTCATGTTTTAATTAAAGAATTTTATTGTGGAAGGGCCGGAGGGTGATGAAAAGCTGCGTCCTGGGGCTGCGGGCGGGGGGCGCCACCGCATTGGCAGGAGGGCTGGGGCTGGACGCCCGAGGGGGGCGGCAGACGTGGGGGGGCACAAATCAGGGTAACCAGCCCCTGAGGGCACCTGGGGGACCCCTGGGCCTTCAGGCTGCCCACATGGACATGGCGCCTCCTGCCCGCCCCAGAAGCGGAACCGCTGCAGTTGGGGGGGCGGGGGAGCCGCCGGCCGCGGGGTGTGCGCGCCCGTGGGGGCCAGGGGCGCGCTGGGAGCAGCGGCTGGGCCCCTGCGGGCCTGGGAGGGCTGCGGGGGGCTGTCCTGTCCCCTGGGGCGCCATTGCGGGGGCGCCAGGGGGGAACCTGGCTGCCCCGGGACAGGCCTGGACCTCCCTAACTTGACCAGCCTGGGGGTCCCCCGGCGCCAACCCGCCGGGCCGCGGCTGCGGGCGGGGGCGGCCCCTGCTGGGCCAGAGCGGAAGCGCCGCCGCCTCCTGGGGGTCCCCGAGCCCGGGAGGCCGAGCAGCGCCGCCCCCGGGACTCCCGCCGTTGGACTTGGGGCCCAGGGGCTGGGGGGCCACGGCCTCCAGGCTGCGGCGCCAGGACGGGAGGGAGGCCGGAGGCCCAGCCGCTCGCAGCGCCCTCTCCGGGGTGGCCGGGCTGCCAGGCCGCCGTTAATTGGCCCCATTCATGCCCTAATGAGATGGAAATGAGGCGGCGGACAGAGGGGCATTGAGCCCTGGAAGAATGGCCGCCTCTTTCCGGCCTGGAGGGGCAGCCCACCCCCAGCCCTGCCCACTCCTGCGCTGCCCCCTCGCCACCCAGAAGCGCCCCGGCACCCCGCCCTGGCAGCTAAGGCCGCTGCGGCTCGCGGGCCAGGGCTGCCACCAGCGCGGGGGGCCAGGCCTTCACCCCGCCCGGCCGGTGTCGCGGGTGGCACGGGGAGGGGCGCCACAGCCACAGGGCACCTCTTCCCGGCGGCCTGGTGGGGCCCAGCCCGGCCAGGGGCTCAAAGTGTGGAGGGACTCGGAGACCCTGGCCAGGGCTGGGCTCGGGCTGGCCGGGGTCGGCTTCAGGGTGACCTGGGTCAGGATGTGACCAGGGCCGGGGAGACAAGGGCCCACGCGTGACCCTCGCGCAGCGTGTGCGGTTCCGGCTGGGCCTGCGGGCCGGTCCCCTCAGCGGCCCCTCCTTGGCTGCGTCCCGCCTCCCGCCCCTCCCCCACGCGTGCTCACCACCTGGGTCACCAAGGTAACCAGCCGGGAATCGTGGGTGTTCTGGCAGCCGAGGCCTAACCTGAGTCTCTCCTGAAAGGCAGAGCTCCGCTGCCGTTGCCATGGGAACCGAGTGGCATCCTCGGAGGAGCCTGGCTTGGTCACCCTCTCTCCCACCCACCGCCAGTCTCCACGTCATTGGGTGTCCACGTGGGGGCTGGGCCTGGGCCCCGGGAATAGGCGGCCTGGCCTGTGCGGGTCCCCAGGCCCGTGCTCTGGGCAGGACGGCGGGGCCTCGACAGGTGAGACCCTGGGCAGGCCCCTGCATCCCGGCCGGCCGCCTCGCGGCCATGGGGGGCACCCTGCGGCGTGTGGGCCCGGCCAGCCCCAGCCCTTGACCAGGGACACCTGGGCCGCCCGCTGCTCCACCAGGTGGCTGGGCTCATGGCTGCGGCGGGCAACCTGACCGGGCGGGCAGGGGCAGCCAGAGGGCGGCCCCACTTCAGCACCCCTCCCTGGTCCTTCCACCACCTTAGCAGCTCCCGGTCAGGGCGCTTAGGTAGCTCCTCCAGCTTAGGGTGCTCCCAGCACGGAGACCCTGGCACACACAGCCTGCTCTCGGCAGGCCTCCGGGGTGACCTTGCCAGCCCCCAGTTTCTTCCACCGTAAGAGGCGGAAAGGTTGCCTCCCGGGTGGACAGGTTTCCGGTTCCCGTGTACCGAGGCGCCTGCCAGGGCAGGGCCCACGGGGCGTGGGGGTCAGGACACCCTGCCCCGGGTGCAGCCTGGGAGAGCGCCACAGGGGCGGGGGCCCCCTTCCTGGGAGGGGTCGCTACTCGCGCCGCTTCCCGGGCGGGGGCACGTTCCATGGGCCTGGGTCTCCCACCTGGACAGTGGGGCCAGCGAGGGAGGGCTCCCTGCAGCTCAGACCAGGAGGGGCCGGGGCCAGGCCCTTGACCCCCGAGGCGGGCCCCGCCCTGGGCCCGGACAGCGCCAGGGGGCTGCGTGGATCGGGGCGCGGGGCCTTTGCGAGCCCTGCTGTGCGGCCGGGAGGCTCGCGGTCGATGTCGCTCCGGGGGCTCTCACGGCCCTCGCTGCCGAGCCAGGGACAGGCCGGCTTCCTCAGTGTTTCCTGTTGTCTCCGCGTCGCCCCCCCAGGGACGCGCCCCTCCAGCCCTCGCCCCTCAGTGAGGTGTCCCCATCGACACCCGCGCGCCCCGCTCTGGCCAGGGCGGGGGTCGCAGGCGCCCCGGAAGGCCAGGGCGCCGGCCCAGGTGGCGGCGGGAGGGCGGGACGAGCCTGAGTTTTCACTCGCGCCCCCACACCCCAAAGGCAGGTGGGTGAGGACTGAGCCCGCACTCCAGGCCCGAGGTCTGGGCACCTTGGCCTGTGTGCCCAGTGCCAGCGCGGGCCTGCACCCGGGATGACCTTGGGCAAGGCGCTGGGCCTCGGGGGCCCAGGGAGAGGTGGGACCTGGGGGTGCTCTGAGGGAACAGCGTGCAGAGGCTCTGCAGCAGAATCCGGGCCGGGGGCTCCCGTTCCCACACTACCTGCCCTGGCAGAACGAGCCCACCTGCCGGCACTGGGCCGCCCCTCCCGCCCTGCTGCATTCCTTGGCCCCTGGCGCCCTCTGCTGGCCGGTCTGAGCACAGGCGCAGGGGCTCCTGCCTGGACAGTTTGCTGCAAGTCAAAGGGGTTCTCTGGGGTGCACTCCAACCCCATCTTGCACCCACCCACCCTTTCTGGCCCTTTGCCATGTGCTGCCAGACCCTCTTCCCCGGCAAGGACAGCTGTTCTCTTCAGCTGAGGCCTGAAGGCCAGGGCAGGGCGGCCTTGACCACCCCATGGCTGGGGGGGTGGTTCTTGGGCTCCAGCCTCCCTCCTGCTGGGACCCCCTGTTCTCCCTCGGGGACCCCTGCAGTCCTCCTCACCCCATGGGGTGGGGCCTGCCACCAGCCGCAGTCAGCCGGGGTGCCGGGACCTCCCTGCAGGCCAGGCATGCCCGCCCCAGGGCACAGCCGCATGGGACGGCGTCCAGCCCAGTGGGTGGGGGTCCCGTGCGAGCACGGCTGGCCTGGGGCTATCCCTGGCCACCTCGGACTGGGTGGCGTGAGTGAGTGTGGCCAGAGTTGGCACCTTATTGATAGGCCTGGCCCGGCTTCTCTGGGAGCGCAGGGGTGGAGGCCAGGTGGGCAGCAGGGTGGCAGTGCCCCAGATACAGCCTCACGCTCTGGCTGAGAGGGGGTGCCTCCTGCTGCACCCCTCCGTGCTTCCCAGTGCTGTCGGGCTCCGTGTCCCCGGTGGCACACAGGCCACCAAGGGGTTCGGGCTCTCAAAGGTCGCTGGGGTAGAGGAAGACCTGGGAGACAGCTGGCCGAGGTCAGAGCGGGGCCCGGGGGACCTGGTCCCCAGGCTCCCTCTGCACTCAGTGCCGGCTTGACAGGGCGTGGGGGTCCCGGCTCTGCTGTGCCCTGGGTCACTCCTGGTCACTCCTTTTCCCCTCGTGGGGCAAAGAACACACAGGTCAGCCTCTGAGGGCCCACTGGGAGGGGTCCGAGGGTCTGTGCCCAGGAAAGAGGGCCTCAGCAAAATGGGGTTCTTGGGGAACCAGGCATCCACTGGGGTGGCTCCATTCATTCTTCAGACCCATCTGGAGTCCAGCTGGGTCCATCCCCCATCCTGGGCCAGTAGAGACCCTGGCAGAGGTGCCTTCACAGCAGTAGGGTGCTGTGAGCTGACACCCCAGGGGCACGCTGCCAGCCACCTGGGCACTGCCTCCTATGGCCTTCCCTGGGCACCCCCACCCTGCCAGCGTCTGCCTCACACCAGGTCACACACACCAGCGGGCACGCGGCCTCCTGGCTTGACCCTCCAGGCTGGCTGGGCTGGTCCGGCATGATGGGGTCTGTCCTGGTGGGTTCCTGTGCCCCATACTCCTGCCTGGGAGACCACGGCGCACCCTGAGCCACAGCCGCCCTCTGTGCCCCCAGGTGGCTGGAAGCTGTGGTCCCTGTGGGGCGAGTGCACGCGGGACTGCGGGGGCGGCCTGCAGACGAGGACGCGCACCTGCCTGCCCGCGCCGGGCGTGGAGGGCGGCGGCTGCGAAGGGGTGCTGGAGGAGGGCCGCCTGTGCAACCGCAAGGCCTGCGGCCGTGAGTGCGCCCACGGCGGGCCCAGGGGTGGGCGGCGCCAGCGGGAGGCGGGGTCAGCGGAGGGGCAGCAGGCCAGGGGCGGGGCAGGGGCCTGTGCAGGTGAGGGCCCAGGAGCAGCGGCTGGGCCCGGAGTTAGGTGAGACTGGATGGGACTAACATCTCCCCTGCGCGCTGGGAATTTGGGGGCGCAGGCGGAAGGCTCTCCAGCCCCAGCCAGATCCCCCAGTGCCGTCCTGTCTCCGGGATGCATCTTTCTAGTCAGACGCATCTTGGTAGACGCATCTCTGATGACCTCATGCATTTTTTAGCTGGTTCCATAGGGTTCCATCAAGTGATAACGAGCCCGGCGTTCTTCCGTTGTCCTCCCTCGAGGAGCCTTCCTGCACAGGACGGGGCAGGCCGGTGGGGGCCGAGCAGGGCAGTCACTCCCGCTCGCTGTGCTGCTGGCGAGGGGGGCGCAGAGCAGCGGCCAGACAAGGGTTGGCATCAAGTGGGGGGAGGCAGAGCTCCGGCCTCAGGTTTCTCAGCTGCCCGAGGGGCCAGCCCAACCCCGCTGCGCCGGGGGGCTGAGGGCCCAGGTCAGAGCGGCGACCTCGAGCCGCAGGGCGGGCGCAGCCGGACTCTGACCGCAGCCCTCCTGCAGCGGCGGGGCGCGCCGGCTCCCGAAGCCAGTCCCTGCGCTCCACCGACGCGCGGCGCCGCGACGAGCTGGGGGACGAGCTGCAGCAGTTCGGGTTCCCGGCCCCGCAGACAGGTGAGCTGCGAGGGGTCGGAGATGCTGCCGCGCGGGCGGCTGGCGTCGGGAACGGGACCTGGGGCAAATGCTGTCGGGTATTCGTTGCTGCCAATTCTAGGCAATAACTAATAACTCACCGTCATCAGACTAAGCTCTTAGGCGCCAGGCTCTTGTCTCCGCGCAGGCCAGGGTGCTGGCCAGGGGCCTGCGGGGGCCAGACCCCAGGGACCCCTCCACGGCAGGGCTGCCCGGGTTCCAACCTTGTAGGGGGAGGGGCGAGTCCTTGGCGAGGTCAGCCCCGGGCTTCAAGGCCGCTGCCTGTCCTGCGGGCGCAGCCTGCAGCCAGCTCGGCGGCCCGTCCCGGCACCTGGCAGCCGCAGCGCAGGCCGGTGACGCCGCAGGTCTGGGCCGGCAGGTGACCCCGCGGCCGAGGAGTGGTCCCCGTGGAGCGTGTGCTCCAGCACCTGCGGCGAGGGCTGGCAGACCCGCACGCGCTTCTGCGTGTCCTCCTCCTACAGCACGCAGTGCAGCGGGCCCCTGCGCGAGCAGCGGCTGTGCAACAACTCGGCGGTGTGTCCAGGTGGGCGCGCGCGGGGGCGGGGCCGCGGGGGAGGGTGTCGGGGGCTGGGGAAGGGCCTCAGGGGCCAGGCGAGCGCCGGGGTGCGGGACAGCCGGGCAGCCGTGGTCACCAAGAGCAGCGGAGCCCTGTGGTCCCTCCTCAGTGCACGGCGCCTGGGACGAGTGGTCGCCCTGGAGCCTCTGTTCTAGCACCTGTGGCCGCGGCTTCCGGGACCGCACCCGAACTTGCAGGCCCCCCCAGTTCGGAGGCAACCCCTGTGAAGGCCCTGAGAAGCAAACCAAGTTCTGCAACATAGCGCTGTGCCCTGGTAGGTCAGAGGGAGGGCGCGGGCCGGGCTTGCAGGAAGGCAGGAGGGCCGCTGCGGCTGACCAGCCCGGGAGCGGGTTTGGCCTCCACCGGCGGGCGCTGGGGCCCGAGCCTGTCGCCAGGAGGTTGGGAACTCCGCGGCCTCGCACACTCGCGCCACCGCGCAGGGCGGGGGTCCCCGGGAGTGACGGCGCCCGTGTCCACCTGCGTGGGGCAGAGGGGCCGGCGGGGCGTCGCGCCGGTGTTCACGCCGGCCGCCTGTCCTTGCTCCCCCGGGCCGGGCAGTGGATGGAAACTGGAACGAGTGGTCCAGCTGGAGCGCGTGCTCGGCCAGCTGCTCCCAGGGCCGGCAGCAGCGCACGCGGGAGTGCAACGGACCTTCCTATGGGGGCGCCGAGTGCCAGGGCCACTGGGTGGAGACGCGAGACTGCTTCCTGCAGCAGTGCCCAGGTCGGGGGCGCCCGGGGGGCTGGGGCTCCGTGGGGCGGGGCGGGCACCGCGTGGGGGGGCGCCGGGGGGCGGGCACCGGCCTATGGCGCATCCACTTGAGCTCCGGTTTCTCCTGGTCCCGACCCCCCCGCGGCCTCCCGCTCCCGTGCCCTGGACGCCGGCACCTCCGGCCGCCGCGCTGCGTCTCCCTCCGCGGCCCGCCGGGCCCGCAGTGGACGGGAAGTGGCAGGCCTGGGCGACGTGGGGCGGCTGCAGCGTCACCTGCGGGGGCGGCACGCAGCGGCGGGAGCGCTTCTGCTCGGGGCCCTTCTTCGGGGGAGCCGCCTGCCAGGGCCCCCAGGACGAGCACCGGCAGTGCGGCGCGCAGCGGTGTCCGGGTGAGGCCCTCGCCCCGGGGCGGCCGGGCGCGCGGCTGGGGCGCGGGTCAGGGCGTGGGTCAGGAGGCGTGGTCCAGGGGCGTGGCTCCGGGGGCGTGGCTCCGGGGGCGTGGCTAGGGCGTGGCTCCGGGGCGTGGCTAGGGCGTGGCTCCGGGGCAAACTAGAGGCGTGGCTCCGGGGGCGTGGCTAGGGCGTGGCTCCGGGGCAAACTAGAGGCGTGGCTCCGGGGCGTGGCTCCGGGGCGTGGCTGGGGCGTGGCTCCGGGAGGCGTGGCTAGGGGCGCGGCTCAGGGCGCCTGAGCCTGGTGGGTGCGCAGGGGATGGGGCCCCGCCTCCCCCCTCCCCGCCCGGCCCCCTCACTGCCCCGGCCCGCAGAGCCGCACGAGATCTGCGACGAGGACGGCTTCGGCACCGTCGTCTGGAAGGAGACCCCGGCGGGAGAGGTGGCCGCAGTCCGGTGCCCTCGAAATGCCACGGGTGAGGGCCCGGGGCGCGTCGTGGGGCCCCGCCCCACGGAGGCTGCGGGGCCGTCCGCGCCCGCCGGGGCAGCGGGGCCGCGGCGCTGGGGGCGGGCCGCGCCCGTGTCCGAGCGCCCACCCGGCGCCGGCGGGCAGAGCCCCCCGTCCCCGCTTAGGGGAGCCGAGGCCGGAGACGCGCAGCCCCGGCCCGGGCGGGGGGGGCGCGGGGGCGCGGGGGCCGCGGGGCGAGCCGGCTCCCCGGCGGGGCTGACCCGCGTGTCCGCAGGCCTCATCCTGCGCCGCTGCGAGCTGGACGAGGACGGCGTGGCCTACTGGGCGCCCCCCACCTACGTGCGCTGCGTGTCCATCGACTACCGCAACATCCAGATGATGGTGAGGCCCCCGCCGGCCCGGGGCGGGCGCGCAGGCCCCCGCGGCCCCGCAGGCACAGCCTCCCTCTCGCCTCCCCAGACGCGGGAGCACCTGGCCAAGGCCCAGCGCGGCCTGCCCGGCGAGGGGGTCTCGGAGGTCATCCAGACCCTGGTGGAGATCTCCCAGGACGGGACCAGCTACAGCGGGGACCTGCTCTCCACCATCGACGTCCTGAGGAACATGACCGAGATCTTCCGCAGGGCCTACTACAGCCCCACCCCCGGGGACGTGCAGGTGGGCCCCGGGCAGCAGGGCGGGCAGCCTGGGCGCCGGGAGGACCTCGCCGGGCCTGGATCAGCCTGACCTGGCCGTGGGCTGGGCCCTGACCCCACCTCACGGAACCAAAACCCTGGTCGCCCCGGCCCCGGCCCCGGCCCTGGTCACACGCTGACCCCTGACCCTGGTGCGTTCTCTGCTCCCCGGCCCCTCCTGCTCGTCTTCCCAGAACTTTGTCCAGATCATCAGCAACCTGCTGGCTGAGGAGAACCGAGACAAGTGGGAGGAGGCCCAGCTGGTATGGACGTGGACTGAGCGCGGCACGGGCCACCCCAAGGGCTCTGGGTTTGGGTGCAGCCGGCCTCCCGCGGGCGCGACTGGAGGAGGTGGCTCCCCTGAGTTCCGTCCCACCTGAACGGGGCCGCTAGAGGACGCGGCGCAGGACCAGGGCCGCCGAGGGAGGGCCCGCCGTCCTGTCCTCGGCCCCGCCCGCTGTCCTCCCCAGCGGGCCCCGTCCACGAGGCTCAGTGTTGTGGCCCACGAGGGTGGGTGCTCGAGGCCCCGCCCTGCTGCCACCCGCGGTGCTGGGTGGGACGGGAGAAGGGAGGCGGGGCACCCGTGTCCTGGCTGCGGCCTGGGGCTCCCTCTCTGAGGCCCTGTCCCCGCCGCCCCCAGATGGGCCCCAACGCCAAGGAGCTCTTCCGGCTGGTGGAGGACTTCGTGGACGTCATCGGCTTCCGCATGAAGGACCTGCGGGACGCATACCAGGTGACAGACAACCTGGGTAAGGCGTGCCCGCCCATGCAGACCCCACGCTGCAGGCCCTTCCTGCCTCGGTTCCCATCTTTAGACACAGTGGCCAGGCCGCAGGCAGCACCGGGCCGGTTCTGAGCCCAGTTCTGCTCACGGACCCGCATCCCGTGGGCCCAGTCTGCAGTGACCCTGGGTGGGGGGGCGTGGGGACCCAGATCAGGTCCTGGAAGCCTGGGCACGCTGGGAACCCCAGACTGCTGCCCGCCCTGGCTTGCACCCCCTGGGGCAGGGCCCACTGCTGTTCACCCCGGTGCCCTCTGCTGGGGCACCTCAGGATTTGAAAGCAGGTCGGTGCTGGCACCTCTTCTCTTGCCTCCACCCCAGAGGCATCAGGTCGGAGGGGCCCCCCAACCTCTGAAATGGGCCAGCAGTGCTCACTTTCTGGGGGTGCAGAGGACAGGCAGGCCTGAACCGGGTGGTCCAGGTGACCGTCGTTACACATCCCACAGTTGTACTCGAGTGTCACCAGTGTCCCCTTGAATAGCTTTCATGGCCACATTCCTCAGATTCGCCCTATCTAGAGACACCTTCCAGACTTTGCACTGGTCAGTGCAGTGTCCATCTTCCCAGTGGGACCCAGGAGTGGGTGCTGGCCCCAACAGCGATCCAAGCACACCCAGGAGGGAGGTTGTCACCTTTGTGGAGACTTTCTACCTTTAGTGATGTGCCCAAGACTCCCTGCACTAACAGACGGGAGGCGTGGAGTGACCTGGGAGGCTGGGATGAACACCCCTATATTTGCTACCCTGGAGGTTTGCAGAGCTCGGGACCGGCCTTCCACCTCAGGAGCTCAGGGTCCCAAAACTCAGCCAGAGCTGAGATCTTTAGGCCAGCGTCACCATCCTTATCGTTGGACCCCAGACTCAGGCCTGGGGCCAGGTACTATGGAGAGCCCCTGGTGCTGGGGTCAGCGGCCCAGGCTGGTTGGTTTGTGCTTGGACCATCTCTGAGATGCTGCCTCCTCTCTGCCCCCTTCCTTGCCTGGCTGAGCCCCCACTTTTAGTGAGAGCAACTGACCTGAGGGGGCTTTTGTGGGACCATGTGGTATGTGCCTAGGAGACCAGCTGGCAGTCGCTGTGGACCTCCTGCCAGACTTCACTGTGGTGCGGCTCTGGACACCCAGCACCCTGGGGGCCCCCAGACCTGACACCGACCCCACCTGGGGAGCTGTCCTAAGCAGATGACCCTTCAGACCAGCCCCTGGATGCGAGGGAGGTGTGGGCTCCCCCAGTCACCCTGCCAAGACATTCATCACCCTGCCGTCCACACGCCGGATACCCCTACCCCAAGGGTGCCGCGCACCACCGGGGCACACCCCAACACACCCACCACGCTGCACACTACACACACCAAACACACACACACACCATAGACACCACAACCACACGCACCACACATACCACAGGCCACAGACACAACACACATACACGCACATACGCACACACCCCACACACACCTCCACACATCCCACGCATACCACAGGCCACAGATACCACATTCACCACAGACAGCACACACATACACACACCCCCCACGCACACACAACACACACCCCACACACAACACAAATACCACATTGACTACGCACCACATCTCACCCGCCCACGCTCCATGTGCCCCTCTCCTGCCCCCCGCCCCCCGCGGGCCCATGGTCATTGTCGCAGCCCCAGGCCTGCCTCCTGCCCTCAGGGCTCCTTCCCCTACCAGGGCAGTCCCGCCGCAGCCCCGGACCCCTGGCCCCACGCTCCTCAGGCGCCTGCTGTCTGGTCTGGACCTCCGTGCCGACCCAACGCCAGCACCGCTCCCCATCACCGTGCCCCCCCTGGAGTGGCCGGTGTCCACCCAGGCTCCCTCCCAAGCCCCGGCCCCGCGCTCCTCCCAGGGAGCGGCCCAGGGACTCCTCATCCTCTGAGGCCCGCACACCTACCCTCCAGGCTGCCCCCTCGCGTCCATCTGGACGAGTCCTGGCCCACTTGCCCTGAGTCCAGCCGCCCCACGGGCCATGGTGCTCAGACACCCTGCCGGGACCTCCTGCTGTCCCAGCCCCGCGTCCCTTGCGCTGACCCCACGCCCACGTCCCCATTCCTGTCCGCCCTCCCACGCTCACCTGGGATTCGACCCCGCGGGATGCCGAGGCCGGGCCAGGCAGAGCCCTTAGCCTGGGGGCTCGGGCGCCAGGGTCTCCCAGCAAGCAGATGGGAGGAGAGGCTGCCACGTCCATGACTGGCCTCTGGTCAGCCCAAACACTCAGTGCCGCCATTGGTGCCTCCCGGGGGGCTGGGCCCTCTGCCGCCCCTCTCAGGGTGCTTTACCAGGGTCTCCCCTCCCTGCATCCCCCACCACAGACCTGAGTGAAGAGCCCACCTCTGATGCCTTCTGAGCCCCTGCCTGGGGCTCCTGCTGGGCAGGGCCTGCGAGGGCCAGCCCCACACCCAGCCCATGACTGCTGCCCCTCGCTGTCTCCCATGGGGCCTGTGTGGGGTCAGTGTCCATGCTGGGGGAGCTGGCCTGCGGCTGAGAGCTGGGGCTGCCAGAGAGGGGGCACCGCTGGGGCCTTGGGCCTCGTGGCGAGTGTGGGACCAGGCAGAAACCTGGCCAGGTGTGCCCACGTGTCCCCTCAGCCGCAACTGCCCACTCCCAGCTCCTCAGGCCACAGCTGTGCTCTGTCTCCTGTCTCTGTCTCTCTCGGGCTCCTCCCGTCTCCCACCCCAGTCCTCAGCATCCACAAGCTCCCGGCCAGCGGAGCCACGGACATCAGCTTCCCCATGAAGGGCTGGCGGGCCACGGGCGACTGGGCCAAGGTGCCAGAGGACAGGGTCACTGTGTCCAAAAGCGTCTTCTCCACAGGACTGGCTGGTGAGGGGCCTGGGGCGACAGGGGCCCTCACGAGAGACTTAGGCCCCAGGATCTGAGGGCCTGCCCCCGGGGGTGGCCCTGGGGCTGACCTGCTGCCTCAAGGGCCAGGATGGCATCTGCTTCATCCAAATGGTGGCCGCTCCTCCAGGAGGGCCTCCCTGCCCTCCCTGTGTTCAGAGGCCTTGGGGCCCAGGAAGAGGTGCCATGCCCGGCCTGCCCCAGCTCTTGGGGTCCCCTGGGCTGCCGCCCGCTCTCTGACCCCACGTGGCATCCCAGGTGGCTCCCGCTCCTGCTAGGGCTGGACGTGGGGAGGCGGGTGTGGGGCGCCTCCCTCTGGGGGACACACGCCCCTGCCGAGCAGCTCCGGCCTGGCGCCGGGAGGGCTGACACTGCTGTCTTGCAGAGGCTGACGACTCGGCCGTGTTTGTGGTCGGCACGGCGCTCTACCGGAACCTGGGCAGCTTCCTGGCCCTGCAGAGGTGGGCTCCGCGCGGGCAGGCCCTGAGGAGGCAGCGCGGGATGGGTGCGGCCGGGCACTGGGCCTGACTCCCCTGTTCCCCAGGAACACCACGGTCCTGAACTCCAAGGTCATCTCAGTGACCGTGAAGCCCTCACCTCGCTCCCTCCTCACTCCCCTGGAGATTGAGTTCGCCCACATGTACAATGTGAGTGCCACGCGCGTGTGCGTGCTTCTGGGCTCCTCCCTCCCGTGCCACCTCCACCCGAGTGGGCAGGGACGGGGTGTCAGAGGCGGGAGCTACCCAAGCTCAGGGAGCTGGACATGGGGCTGGAACTGCCCCAGCCATTGTGACCCAGGCCCGGGTCGAGGTGCCACCCCGTGGGCCCCACGGCCCCACCCCTCCAGGTTTCCTCCAGGTCGCCACCAGCCCCCCGCAGACCCGGGGGTGGCCGCCTGGTCACCCGCCAGGACTGGGAGTAGGATGAACAGGCCCTGCTCCTTCTGCTGTTTGATCTCAGCCAGTGGCTCAGCCTCTCTGTGCCTCAGCGCCCTCCCTTGCCGAGTGGGCCAAGCCGGCTGGGCGAGGGCTGACCCACAAGTGCAGCACCCATGGCCCTGGCGAGCACTCACTCTCCCCCGGGGCTGGGCCTCGGCTGAGCTGCGCCTGCCCACCTGCTCGCAACCCTCAGGGCTCCGGGAGGGTCTCCCCATCACGCCACTTTGCATGAAGTTGACCAGCCGCTGAGGCATCTGGGCATAGCCACTGCCCAGCCCCACTCAGAGGGGCCGGGGGCCACCCACAAGGAGTGGAGGGCTGGCCAATCCCTTCCCTGATCTGGCCCCTAGCACCACCCTCGGCTCCCTGGGGTGTGTCTGCACAGCACAGGCAGAGCACTCTGCGCCCTGTGGGTGGGTCCGCAGCCTGGGTCAGGGGTCTCCCAGCGGGAGGCGGGCCTGACTCCTCCCCTCCCCCCCCAGGGCACCACCAACCAGACCTGCATCCTGTGGGACGAGTCGGACGTGTAAGTGCGCTGGGCCCTGGGCCCCGGGGCCTCCGGGAGGGCTTTGGTGCGCTCTGCCGCTGAGGCCTGCCAGGCCCGCCCCTCCCAGGACAGCCGCGGGGCGGGCGGGGCCTCTGCTGCTCTGAGGCTCTGCCCACGGGCTCCCCGTCCAGCCAGTGGTCGCCACTGGCTGCCTGTTCCGTGCCAGCAGGGTGGGCAGGGGGCCGCTGTGCTGCCATGGAGCTCCCCGTGTGGGTCCCCTGAACAGAGTCCTCCTATGCGGTGCGGCTGGGGCGCCTAATGGGTCCGGGAAGAGCTTGTGCAAAGGCTTCAAAGTGGGAGTGGCCCGAGGGGTGAGGAGGGCAGAACTGGGGAGCAAGGGGGCAGAGAGCTTGGTGCTGGCCTCACCCCCAAGCTGTGTCTGTGGTTTGGGGCACATCGGGAAGGTGTGGCAGGGTGCCGGGCCCTGCCTGCTGGGCCCCTCCGGGCCGGCCGGGGTGCAGGCGCCAGTCCCTCGCTCCGGACAGGGCCGGGACTCCCCACAGGCGGCAGCGGCTGAGCGCAGGCGGGAGGGTCGCGGGAGTGGTCGGGTGTGGGCGCAGATGGGGCTGCAAGGGTCTTGGTTGCGGGGTCTGAGTGTCGGGAACTACAGAAGGTGTCACAATGGGGTCGTCACTGCTCGCCCATCGGCCCCCCAGCCTTCCTCCAGCCCCCCACCCTCCCGTCTGTACCCACCGGCCCCGTCGCTGGCTGCCGTCCACTGCTTTTCTCTGGTTTCTGCAAGTGGCACAAGCTCTTTGTGCAAAACGAGGTGTCAAAAAAGGACAAGAAAAGAAAAGCCAGCAAGACGCCCCCACAGCTGACCAGGCTGCCCGCTGGCCAGTGTCCTGTCAGGCTGTGCGTGTGCAGGGGTGTGGGGTGCCGGTCTGTCTTGTCCAGCCCCTGATGTGGCGCAAGTCCCTCCCACAGCCCAGAGACCCTCCATGGGCCCCGAGAAGCTGCCTGGCTGCCCCCGGGGCAGGGACACAGTCCCAACCCATCCCCCCTGAGTCCCTGGGGCCTGGCCACTTCCAGCATCCTGGTGCGGGCAGCGCCACCCACATTCCCCAGCCTGTCCTTGGCACCTAGCCCCTCAACGGCCTGAAGCTCTTGGTAGCAAACCGTAGAAAGCTGGGGCCAGTCCCTCCCCGCCAGGAGGCAGCAGTCAGGGAGCCTGGCCTGCTGGTGGGCTGCCCCCGGCCTAGTCTGCGGCTGCGCCTGTGCGGACCTGGCCGCCCCCCGCTGGAGCCTGTGCGCCCTGCTCCTGACAGAGAGGACCCCAGAGGCCCATTTCAGGCCCGCAGGGCGCTCACCACCGGCCAGTCTCCGCCTCCCTATCCTCTCAGGCGGGGCTCCAGTGTGCCCACCTCTGGATGGAGGGGACCATGATGCTGCCTCACTGCCCAGCCCAGGGGCGAGGGCCACGGGAAGGTGCCCATGGCAGGCTGGTGCTGGAGCTGCTCCTGGCCACTCCCGTACAGTCGCCCTGTGGCTCGGGTCCCTGGGCTGCTGCACCTGGCCTGCTCCTGGGGGAGAGGCCTGGGAGTGGGGCCAGCATCCACAGGCACACCCGGCCTCCCAGGGCCTCGGGGGAGCACCAGGAGCTGTGGCTCGCCCCTCTGCTCTGCACCCCGTGGCTCCATCTGCAGCCGGTGGCTCACGCCTTGCCCCAAGAGGTGGCTCAGAGGAGCCAAGGGCTTCCCAGGTGACTTGGGGCGCTCAAGGACAGGACCCCACCCTCGTCCCCCGGTGTGCGGGGGTGGTCCGCACCGGTGTGGGAGTGGGAGTGTGCTCCTGCTGGGGGTAATTGAGGGTGCTAGCAGAGACGGGGTGAGCTGTCCGGGCCGTCATGACTTGTCAGTGCCTCTCAATCCCCGGCTGTGCCCCAGAAGTGACCCTGGTCACCCTGAACCCTGACCCCGGTCACCCCGAGCCCTGCCCCAGTCTCCCTGAGCCCTGACCTCAGTCACCCCTGGAAAGACAAGGGTGTCTCTGCAAGACTGCGTCTGTGTCACGTGCTGCGGCTCCGCCCCCTCGGGCGCTATGTCAGCACTGACCGGCTTGTCTGAGGTGGAATGCACCAGAGGCTCGCCCCAGGGCAGGCCCCCCCTGCCTCGCCCCAGTTCTCCCCACAGTCTGCTGCCAGGCCCAAGAGCCATGCTCAGTGCATCTGCCCCTGCTCTGTAAATGCTGGACTGACAGTCCCTGGAGTCCCTCTTGCCCCCAGAGCCCGAGTCATGTTGACAAGTTTACCTAAGTTTAAAAGGCCGATGGCTCAAACCAAACCCTGATGGGCAGCATGACTCAGACCGCCGCCTCCGCCCGCCCCACCTGGCCAGGGGTGGTGAGACCTGGGAGGGGAGGGATTAGGGAGGGAAGTGGGGAGGAATGGAGGGCCCTTGGACTGTTTCCAGATGTTTGGGAAGATGGGTGGATGGAGGGATGATGGAGGACGGATGGATGGATGGATGGAGGATGGATGGATGGATGGATGGATGGATGGATGGATGGATGGATGGATGGATGGATGGATGGATGGATGGATGGATGGAGGACGGATGGATGGATGGATGGATGGAGGATGGATGGATGGATGGATGGATGGATGGATGGAGGATGGATGGATGGATGGATGGATGGATGGATGGATGGATGGATGGATGGATGGATGGATGGATGGATGGAGGGATGGATGGAGGATGGATGGATGGATGGATGGAGGATGGATGGATGGATGGAGGATGGATGGATGGATGGATGGATGGATGGAGGACGGATGGATGGATGGATGGATGGATGGATGGAGGATGGATGGATGGATGGAGGGATGATGGAGGACGGATGGATGGATGGATGGATGGATGGATGGAGGATGGATGGATGGATGGATGGATGGAGGATGGATGGATGGATGGATGGATGGAGGATGGATGGATGGATGGATGGATGGATGGAGGATGGATGGATGGATGGATGGATGGATGGATGGGATGGATGGATGATGGATGGATGGATGGATGGATGGAGGATGGATGGATGGAGGATGGATGGATGGATGGATGGATGGATGGAGGATGGATGGAGGATGGAGGATGGATGGATGGATGGATGGAGGATGGATGGATGGATGGATGGATGGAGGATGGATGGATGGATGGAGGATGGATGGATGGATGGATGGATGGATGGAGGATGGATGGATGGAGGATGGATGGATGGAGGATGGATGGATGGAGGATGGATGGATGGAGGATGGATGGAGGATGGATGGATGGAGGATGGATGGATGGAGGATGGATGGATGGAGGATGGATGGATGGATGGATGGAGGATGGAGGATGCATGGATGGAGGATGCATGGATGGAGGATGGATGGATGGAGGATGGATGGATGGATGGATGGAGGATGGATGGATGGATGGATGGAGGATGGAGGATGCATGGATGGAGGATGGATGGATGGAGGATGGATGGAGGAAGGATGGATGGATGGATGGAGGATGGATGGAGGATGAGCAGTGGACAAGTGGGTGCAGAACGGGCGGGTGGACAGCAGGTGAGTGGGCGCTGCTAGTCACTGAGCATCGCCGTGATAGTTCCTTAGTCGCTTTGGTCTCAACCTCTGGGGGTAGGGCATGGGTAGTGGCAGCCACACCAGGTGTGACTGTACTTCTAGATGTGAGTGTGCGCAGTGGAGGGTCAGTAATGGCTGTGAGGACCGTCGTGATCAAGAGGATGGAGGGCAGGTGGGCAGCAGGTGGGCGGGGTGGAGGAGTTTGGGGGTGGGGGGGTGGATAGCGTGGGTGCGTGGATGGAGCTGTGGAAGGTGAGCGGGTTTCCGAGCACGGGCACACCAGGTGGTAGGTGGGTAACGGAAGAGTCGGGGGGCTTGAGGGGTGAGTGTTGGGCTGATGGACACTTGAGGGGTTAGGCGCGTGGATTGTGGTGGACCGAGCTGCCTGGCAGGGGACGGGCAGGGACGGGCGGTTGCATCCAGGAGGGCGCGGTCAGCAGCAGGAGGTTGGGCGCACGGGAAGGGGGTCAGACGTGTCCGTTTCCTAGGACCCCACAACGGGTGGCATGTAGCTCCCTGGAATGCCACAGCTGGGTGCCCAGGACCGCGCCCTGAGGCCAGACGTCTGAAATCAAGGGCCAGGCGGGGTGGCCCCCCTCTGAAGGCTGTAGGGAATATTCCTCGGCGCCTCTGCCAACCTCTGGTCGCTCCAGACAGGCCCTGGCGCCCCTTGATTTGCATCAGTGTCACCTCAGGCTCCCGCGGCCTCCACGTGCCCCCCCGCGTGTCCTGCTCTGCCCGGCGGACACCTCCGCCGGCCGCAAGCTTATCCGAGCTCCAGCAGGACGTGCTCTGACGATCTCGCCGCGCGCGTGTCCGCAGAGACCCCGTTTGTAAACACTCCACATCCGCGGGCTCCGGGGGTGGGCGTCCGGGCCGTCTCGGGAGAGGGTGGTCGGTGACGACGTGGCGTCTCCAGCCGAAGGCCGCCCGCCGGGGAGCCCGCCGGGAGGTGGGTGCCGACTGTGCCTGGAGGGGCGGGCGGCTGGGGGGTCGGCGACCAGTGGATGCGGGCGGGCTGCGGCAGGCGGGGTTTAAGGAAGGCCGGGCACCCCGCCCTGGGCATCGGACGGCTCCGGGTGTCCCGGCCCAAGAGGGGTGCCTGGTGCCGCCCCGGGGCGCGTCGGAGCGGAGCCTGCAGGCCGTCGTGGGGGCGCTAGCGGGAGTGGGTGTCGGCGCGGCGGGACCGAGCAGCCTCCCAGCGTCGCCGCTGTGTCCACGTGGGGGGCACCCTGGGAAGCCGCCTGTGGGGGCTCGGGTGGGGCCCCACGCCACCCCGTCCCGGGCCCCGGCCGCAGGCACCATAACTGGAAGACGGAGGCCTTGGGGGCTCCCGCGCAGCGCCTGGGCCAGGCTGGCCCCCGGGAGGCTGTGCAGCAGGGCCCGGCTGGAGCTGGGCCCGCCCGCG